GGGTATATTAATAACTGAACCCCAATAAGGTATAAATACTAGAACTACTGACTGCGCATAGGCTCAATAATAGTCAAATAATATACCCGTTTCGAATTATGGTATCCTTATAATCCTGTAGGCCGCAGCAAGGCCAGCATTATTGAATCGATTACCATTAAAGTCCGAGCACGCGGATTAACTAGTCAAATTAAACACATTTTGTTGAAAAATTGGCAGAAATTGTTTGTGCATGCAACATTATTTTTACTACTAAATTTTGCTTATGAAATTGCTTCGCTTTTGCGCATCGCGTGAATTTCTGAACCAGGCTTTTTAGGCCTATTGTAGTGTATCACAGTCATTGACAATTTTTGAGAAATTTGCTGTTTCGCAGTTGAGGCCTGTTTTGAATTTTGTGTTGAAAAAGAATTTTCCAAATTCCAATTGGCAATTCAGATTTTCCAATTTTAAAACAAACTTATTCTGATAAACTGACAATTTTGTCTTTAAATGGTTGAATGGACAAGAAAATGATTTCATTCTTTTGCATGAAATTGAAAAAGCCCAAGAATGAGAAATGTGCTCTTACCAGTACCACACAAATCATTATTTTTTTAATTCAAATATTTTGAGTTACAAATGTACTATTTAAAGGCATGTATTTTATTCAAATGTGACACTAGTTATAACTAGTAATACCTTCATTGACAGGCATTTACCCATAAAAGTGCAGTGTTTCTCTGTAGAAATAACAGTCATTGCAGCTGATAATACACAATCTGTCCTTTGTCTTGTCTTGTAAAATCTTTCAAAGGTCATTCTGTAGGTGGCGTAACTCTTAAAAGTCATGCATGTCATTTGTCAACTGGCAAAATATCAAGCATCTCTCACAAGACATTTCCAAATACTAAAATAGTTGTAAAGTTTACATCAGTACTTTTAAACCACTTAAATTTGAAAACATAAACTTGCAGTGCCAAGTGACTGTGAAACCACAAGGTCCCATTTTGTGCACAAGTGAGACATGGTCTTAATTTAAGTCTTTAATTAACTCCCGAGGCGTTTGTGCTAGGATGTAACCTCAATCCTGCAAAATCCTCCAACTGCCTCCATGTGAAAATTGCATAAAGCTTCAATCCTGCAGAACCCTCCAGCAATCACTGTCAATAAGCTGGGGCCGAGTCAGTGACATCCTGGAGCAGTATGGAAGATTTCAAATATTATATAGGCCTAAATTTATGCACGGCTCTGCATAAACAACACAAAGTCCGGGCTTAGACCTTGACACAGTGCATCCTCTAAAATCAGCCACACTGTTGCCATATATGTACAGCCTCAATCCTGCAAAATCTTCCATTTTGTAGAGGGGATTTGAGAAGGTTAGGGTTAATTCATGGAATTCATATTAAAATGAATGCTATTTAAGTGCTGTTTCCCAAAAACTTATCAACGAAACTATTTCTCTTATTTTCTGCAGATTACACCTAGTGTCAATAAGCAGCTTTGCTTTGGACACACTGCACGGTGAGCAAGATGGAAGACACGGATGGTATTGCGCCATCCCTTTTTCCAGTGTCTGTGACGAAGGACAGTGGGCCTGGTCCACAGACAACTAGTGGGGATCTGACAATTGAGGGCGCTGTCACCACTGTTGGGGATGTGATAGTAGCAGATGCCACTGGTGGAGATCTGACAGCAGAGGGCGCTGTGATAGTACAGGGCATCATGACTGACAGTGGATTCATGTCTTCCGAGCTAGCATTGCAGATTAGTCAGGCAGGGGGGCAAGTCGTTGCCGCTACTGAGACCCTGACCACCGATTCCCAGCCCATGATAGTGCACAGTGCTGTGCTGGGTACCAGCTCTGAGGTCATGGCGCCAGACAACCAATTGGCAGAGACCATCGTGCAAGATCTACCAGGGGACAACGTAACCAGTGCAACTGCAGAGGGCCCAAACGTGCAGGAAGAAGATGGTTTCCAACAAGAGGGTGTGGTCAGCCAAGACACAGTGGAGGGAGGTAAGGAATATTGCCAGACGAGTTAAGAAAAGTGCCGTGAAAAACAGACTCCTTTAGACTGTAGATATCACTTTATGTACTAGGGCTGTGTCGAATATACTGAATATCAGAGTATTCAGTCATCCACCACATATCCTAAAAGAATTTCCAAAACAGAATATTCACAAAAGGTGAGCTGTTTCCAAAAATGACCCAAAAAAGCCCATGGTGTTAATTTATTCTCTTTTGTTTGTTAAATGCCACATTTTTGTGGACAGCCTGAAACGCATGATTTGAGAGCTTCAAAGGAATATCGACCATTATTTCCATTTTTCAGCTAGTAAGCTAATCTCTGAGAAAAAAATTCTGATACGTGATGATTATAAAAAAAAAAAATGTACCTCAATGTCGATGGTCAAATATTCAAAATAGAATTCATAGCACATGTGTTGACCACTGATTATGGCCAATGAGGGACCAACGTTGTCAAACCTCAGAAAATATGCTTTTTCTTTTGGGGTAAAGCTCATAAATTGCAAGGGAGATTTTAATATTTTAAATTCAAATTCTAATCTGTTCAGGGATGAGCAAATGAATATGAATTAAAGTAGGAATTCTTTTCTCTTTCTTTCCATTTCAAAATTGCAGGTGTTCGGGTAGACAGTGCCCCTGACCAGATACAATCACATGGTGTGAGTGACGGGGATGAGGTCTTAAACGAGGTCCATCAGATACCAGACGATAAATTACTAATGTTCGTGCAGGAAGACACAAATGTCGTCATGGAAGCACAAGATAAGGCTGCTGAAGATGACAGTTTCCCTGAGGCTCCACCTAAGCAAGAGACAGAGCCAGGAAACAAGGATGTGAGCCAAGGAACGAAGGAAGTCATCTTTGTTTGCATTCATGGCCAGTCTTTCCGATGTAAGCCCCAAGCTGGCATCCCAGTGGGAGACCCCGTCATGGAGGTTCCGGAAGACAGCTGTGCTTGCAGTAAGATCAAGAAGTCCCAGGCAGCATCCAAGAAGCCTCCCCGATTGGCAGTGGTCAAAGGCGGCAAGCTGGCCCGCAAACTCCGCAACAGGAAACAACTCTACACCTGCGACATGTGCGAGAGCAGGTTCAGCAACAAGGGAGCCTTAGACCTTCACATGGCTGCTCACGCAGAGGACAATGAGGAGGATAAAGAAAGTGAAGAGGAAATGGAGACGATTCAAGAAACAACCGGGAAAAAGTCCAAGGAGGTAGCAACACCAGGGAAAGCCCAGCAACAGAAACAGACACAGCAAGCAAAAACCTGCCCAGATTGCGGAAAGGTATTCTCCAGGCTTTCTGCTCTAGCTGCTCACAAGCGACAGCATAAGAAGAAAACCCTGAAAAAGGATGGGGAGAATTCCAGCAAACAAGAGGACAAGACCAAAAGCCTGACATGTACTGTGTGCCAGAAGTTGTTTACCCGGTTGTACGATGTCGAACGTCACATGGAGACACACGTGGACAGCGACCGAAGAAAATGCACCTGGTGCAGCAAAACGTTCCACACTATCAAGAGCAAGGAGCGACATGAGAACCTGCACTGTAAACAAAACAAGCAGAACAAGTGCAGCACCTGCGATTTGGTCCTGAGCAGTAAATTCAAGCTGCTTCGGCACGAACGGGAGCACCTCACCTCTGATCAGATTAAAAGTCTGTCCTGTAAAATTTGCATGAAGGCCTTCACAAATCTGCGGAGCCTGATGCGACACGAAAGGCTGCATTACAGAGAGAAGGGGACTCTCATAAATTGCAACCACTGCCCCGAGACATTCGAAGATAGGTTCTCCTACAATGCCCACTTGAAGACCCATGACGTGAGAATCTATCAGTGTGACTTATGTGGCATGAAGTTCAAGCATGAGTACCTTCTGAAGGTCCACATTAAGCGCATGACCTGCCAGAAGACGCGGGAGAGCCTGCGTGACGTCCAGTGCAGCATCTGTCAGAAGACAGTCAAGGGAACAGCCACGCTGAAGCGTCACATGCGCACCCACACCAAAGAGAAACCCTACCCCTGCCGCATTGGCTGCAATTCTTCCTTCTCTAGCACCAGCAATCGCCTGAGCCATGAGCGCATGTACTGCAAACTGAGCCCCGATTACCTCTGCACCCATTGTGGGGAGGTGTTATCCAACCAGGCTAGGTTGATCTACCATGAGAGCAAATACCACGGCGTTGGTCCACTTGTACGTGGCCAACGGATATCAAATGCCGAATACCCCTG